AAAAAAAAAATCGGAAACAAACAAACAGACGAACCAGCGTGGCTCCACTTTGGTTTCACGCGGACAGCAAAAATGTGTGGAAATGTGACTGGCAGTGCTGTTGCGCTTCTGTAGTCTCTTTGGCTCGATGGGAAAAACGCACGCACGGCGGGGGCACCTCGGGGCATCGGGCCCTGTGGAAATGGGACCGCAGAGCTTTGCTCAGAAGCTGCTGGCACACGGTGCTCCCGGGGCGTCGGGGAACCGGAGATCGTTACATCGATGGTGCAAATGGGGACGGGAGGGAGGAAGTGGCGGCAGCTCTCGTTATGTGCATGTTTTTATGGCTTTTAGAAAACCACATTGCAGCATTTTCCGTCGCGTCCGAGGCTGACAGGGCTGCATTGATTAAAACATCCGATTTAGGTCATAAAGAAAATTCACTCGCAGCAGCACAGTCCGTAACGCCACGCTTTCTTAAGACGTCTCGCTGCCGTCGCTGCGGCGCGGAGCGCAACACGGAGCCCTCCGCTCCCTGCGCGTCCCCGACGCCGAGCGCGCCCGGTGCCGCCAGGGGCTGCTGTGCTGCCGGGAAGGGCGCAGCGCTCCGCTGGTACCGAGCGCTCCGCGGGTACCGAGCGCTCCGCGGGTGCCGATCCCGCCGCGGCTCTGGGAGGCGGTCACGGCCCTCGGCCTCGCACCGGAGGCACCGCCCGGCCCCCCGAGCGCAGGGCTTCACGCAGCGTGGCTGTAGCTTTTGCCTTCCGTGCTTCCTGCCGGCTGCCCGCCGCTTACAGCGCGTACCCCTGGTGAGGCTCTGTCTGTCCCGTGAGATGAGACTGCTGGATGGCAGAAGTGAGTTATATTCCAGAAACGGCCAAAAATCAGGCTGCACATAGCCTGGGTGGAAAGGCATAGCCTGTCACTCAGTGTTCCACGCAGACGTTTGCGGTAAAACACCGGCTCTGCATGGTTATACAGCCTGCAGTGCATGGGAATGTATGTGGGAAGGATGTGTTGCAAATGCATGGCGTGTTCAGGCAGCTGCAACAAGTTCCAGAGTGAACTTTGGAGGAAAACAGCAGTGGTTTGCCAAGCAGCCATCATGTCTGAAACATCTTTTGGGAAAAGAAATGACATCCTGGGAATCGTGGCATGGAAGGAAGATCTGTGCGCTGCTCCGCACCTGGACCAAGGAGTGGCAGGTGGGACGCAGCTTCCTGCAGCCACGTCTTCCTGGTGATTACCTATATTCCTCACTCTTCTGTACTTAGTTTGGAGGCATCACAGCCACTTTGCTTCCCTGGATTTTTGATTGTTGGTTTGGGTTTTTTTTTGTGTGTGTGGTTTGGCATACAGCTGTCCCTACTTCATAAAGTTTGAGCGTGCAAGCTCCAAGCACGTAATTCTCAGGCACAAATACTACGGACTGTGACGTTTCACTGCCAGACTAGCGAATGCAAACAGCTTACTTGGCATGTTAGCTCAACACAGAACAATTCAGCGCTGTCAGTGGACTTAAATTAGTAAAATATGGATGCTTATATTCCATTCAGGATGCCTTGGCAAAGCACTGCTGTCTGTCAGCACATGTTAACACCAACAAGACAAGAGTTAGAGTTCATATTATATCCATTTAGAGGGAGAAAAGAGACTCCATTCTGTTTTGCTTTGTGCTGTTTGAGAGGAGGACTCACCTGGGAGCACTCAGGTTGTGCGACACCGAGCTCCTGGCCTGGAATCCAGCTGTGTGCACTCCCCAGGCAGCACCAAGTGCAGGCGCTGCACTTCCCCATGCGGTCCCAGTGCTGCTCGGTGCAGTCCCTGTGGTGCGGGAGCACCTGTGCTCAAGGGCTCCTGCCATGCTCTATGCAGCTCAAACTCTGGGGGTGTTGTGTGACTGCTCTCTGCTTTCCTCTCTATATTTCTCTGTAAGGAAAAGATTGCAAATTGATTACATGCAACATTTTACAGTGCTGTTTATAATTGCTACAACCTGTGGGACACAGTGCTGTTGCTGACGTCGTGTGACATTGCCATTGATGCTGAGCAGTGGGTACCGACATTTTCCACGTCTCCACTGTTCTGTGTATAAGTAGGAATCAATTTCAACAAGACAAAAACTGTGAACAATTTCTGCTTCCAAGAGTTCCAGCAGTTGGGCTCCCCTGTGTGAAGGAGGTGTAAATCTCAAAGCAACATTCCAGGCCTGGTCGGTTCTGTTCCTCAGCCTCACAGCTGCCAGGGGCCGGTTCCTTCAGGCTGCTCTTGCTGTGGAAGGAAGGGGGCTGATCTGCTCCGCTGCCCTCTGCAGAAGGGGCTCGGTGGTAGTCACCAGAGGCTGCAGCAGCCCCTCGCAGACTGCCTTCCCAGCAGGGCTCTGCACGCAGCTCATGCACGCGTTTTCACACAGGGATTATGTAACTCTGGCAGTGTAGGGACTTCATTGTGTGTCTGCCTGCAGAGCGCTCCCCCTTCTGTACACAGAGCATAGAGACAGCGCGGAGCCGCTTGCTGCTCGGCGCAGCGTGGCTGTGGTGCGCTCTGCACCTTACCCGATACACGGGCTGAGCGTGGGGACACGCCGGGTGCCACTGTTGTGAAAGCACTGGGCCCAAGCACCCGGCTTTGGTTTGTTCGCCAGCAGCTTTTGGTCACTGAATGGATGTGAGAGGCAAAGGCCCGGCAGCAGGAACTTCTGAGGACTCTAGTTGAGAATTCTTCATTGATACTTCACTTGTACATGAGATCCACGATAATATTGGTATATCAGAAGGGCTGTTGGCAGGTATGCTGATGTCTCTATGTGTGAAGAATGTGGCAGTTCCTACCACACATTGTGAAAACACTCCAGAGAAGTAATGTTACATTCCAGGCAAAGCGGCTCATTGCCCCACAGGATCCTGAGCAGCAGAGAGGAGGATTCCTACCCGACCAGTCCAACCAGCTGAGACTCAGGGCACTGCAAGCTGAGGGTGTGTACTGGGCTTCCAGGAGCAGCCAGACTGTTCTGCTGCCAGCCCCGACCATTCAACTGCCAGTCCCACTGCTCTGCCTGCAGCCCTGGCCCTCGCTCATCTTGTGTCATCTCTGTGCCTTGCTGTCACAGCTCAGAGACAAGAAAAAAGGAAGACTAGACTCATGTGCCCATCTAATCCTTCTGGCACCTGGTTCTTGTTTTTAATTCTCTCTCTTTACGGTCCTGCCCATAGGATTGTTCACGCTGTCACCCCACTGTCACCAGTTGCTCAGGTGCTCCCTCTCTTCCTTATCCCCAAATGCAGTGACTCATGCTCTTGCACTCACTTGCTCTCCATTCATTAATAACTTTGGCTTTCTATCTGCTGGTTAGCCTTTGCTGTTATCATTGCATTAGTCCATTTGCTAAAGAAATATTTTCTCCTCTGAGTTTTTCTAGGTGAATCTTTTCCCTTTCACAGTTTAGGAGGTGGCTGCTCATCTTGGATGGGATGTAAGCATTTGCTTTATGGGTCTGGTCTTGTTCAACATCTTCATCAATGACCTGGATGAAGGGATAGAGTGCACCCTCAGCAAGTTTGCTGATGATACAAAGCTGGAAGGAGTGGTTGACACATCAGAAGGCTGTGCTGCCATTCAGAGAGACCTGAACAGGCTGAGAGTTGAGCAGAGAGGAACACGATGAGGTTCAGTAGGGGCATGTCCTGCACCTGGTGAGGAATACCTGCACACATCGGTGCCAACAGATGGGGGGCTGACCTGCTAGAGAGGAGCTCTGTGGAGAAGGACCTGGGTGTCCTGGTGGACAGCAGGTTGGCCATGAGCCAGCAGTGTGCCCTTGTGGCCAAGAAGGGCAGTGGGATCCTGGGGTGTGTTGCAGAGTGCAGCCAGCAGGGTGAGGGAGGTGATCCTCCTCCTCTGCTCTACCATGGTGAGGCCACATCTGGAGCCCTGTGCCCAGTTCTGGGCTCCCCAGCTCAAGAAGGACGGGGAACTTCTGGACAGAGTCCAGTGGAGGGCGACAGAGATGATCGGGGCCTGGAGAACCTCTTGCATGGGGAAAGGCTGAGGGAGCTGGGGCTGTACAGCCTGCAGAAGGGAGGCTGAGAGCAGATCGGATCAGTGCTTATCAATATCTAATGGGTGGGAATCATGCGGGTGGGGCCAGGCTCTGTTCTGTGCTGTGCAGCAACAGGACAAGGGCAGCGGGCACAGATTGGAACGCAGGAATTCCATACGGACATGAGGAAGAAGTTTCCTGTGAGGGTGACAGAGCACTGAACAGCTGCCCAGTGCGGTCATGGAGTCTGCCTCTCTGGAGATACTCAGAACCCACCTGGAGGCTTTCCTGTGCGACCTGCTGCAGAGATCTGCTCCAGCAGGGGATTGGGCTGGGGATCTGCGGAGGTCCCTTCCAACCCCTGTGATTCTGTGATTTTGTGCAGGCAGCAAAGCATCACTTGTGTCTGCCGAACGTGGGAAGATCCTTTCTGTGGCTTTACTGCTAGGCCAGCTTTGCCGGGAGGTGTGCAGCAAGGCTGTGCCGGCAGGGCCACGGGGAGCAAGCGGGCTGCTCTGTGCTTCCGTGTGCGCCTCGAGACAGCGAGTCCCAGCGCGGGGAGCAGCGGGGTCCTCACGCTGGAGAGGAGGAGCACTGATGGAGAAACACATTTACAGCCGTGTTTATGAGGCGTCGGCAACCAGGCAACCTTTGTCCGAGGGCGGGAGCCACACCTCAGCGCGCTGCCCGCCCTGTGCTCGGGACCGGCCTCCCGCAGGAGCGGCCCTTCTCTGAGGCAACAGAGCCATTACCGAAAGACGCCCTCGCGTCAGCCCGACCCGCAGGCCGGGAGCGCGGCTCCACGGGCAGTGCAGGTGCCTTGGGGGCGGGCGGCGCCGGCCCCGCTCCGCCCAGCGACAGAGAGGAGGGCCGGCCCGGCGGCGGGCGCACCTGGACACCGCGGCGGCGGGGACGCGGCCGGCTCCGCGCCCCCTGACGGGGCTGCCAGCGCCGCGCCCGGCCACAGCGCGCTCCCGCCGCCATGTCGGCCCGGCGGCGGCGACGAGCGGCCGCCGATGAGGAGGAGGAGAAGAAGGAGGTGGAGGAGGAGGATGGCAGCGACAGAGTGAGGAGCGGTGGGGCCGTGGGGCTGGGCAGGCCGCGGGCGGGCGCCGGGAGGCTGCGGGGGGCGGCGTGGCGGCTCCGGTCACCGCGGGGAAAGGAGGGCTGTGGGCGGAGGGCCGCCCGGAGCCGCGCGCTGCCGGAGCTGCGGGGCTGTGCGGAGTGAGAAAGCGAAAGTCTGCCGGCAGCCCTCGTCCTGCACTTTGGTTGGGAGGGCACGGAGCCACCGAGCTCTGCAGTGAGCCGGAGTGTGCCGCGTTCAGGGCCCCGTTCTGTACGGCAGCGCTTAGGCCACAGCTGCGTGTCTCTCCCTACGTGAGAACTTATTTTAGCTATGACTTTTCATAGCGGTCTGCTCAAAATACTGCTTTCCTACAGAAGCATTTGGCTTTGCTCAGCTCTGGACGCGGACACCTGCCCCCAACCCCCGTCCCACCTCAGCTCCCCCAGCCACAAAAGGGCTTGTCAGGCTGCTGGGAAGCCCAGGATCTAGAGATGAGTTTTCTATCAGCCACAGTTGGGTCCTGATTTAGTGGTGGGCACAGTGGTTGTGCACGCCATAGGGGATCTGATGGGGAGTATGAGGCCGTTGGGATTCACAGGTGCCACCACACTCTGTGTCCCCATAGATGGGAACGTGCGTGCTCTGCCTCTTGCCTCGCCTTTGCAACATGCAAACAGCACATTCTCCTTCAGATGTTTGCACATTGCCTGTTCTGCCTTGGGGGCTGCACACTTGGAAACTTGTTCCCTCCTCCATGACTGCTCCAGATGGCTGTGAAGCAATGGGTTTCCGCTGCTCCCCACTGCGCAGCTGGGAAACATCACCCTCTTCCACACTTAAAATGAGAATGTGGATGTATGGAAACTGCTGGCTTCTGATGCAACTGCTGCTGACCCAATTCATTCAGTTTCCAGATGGGTAAAAGGGACATGCTTTAAAGCACCGTGCATGTCAATGCAGAGGAATGCTCTGAGTTTGCTCAAGACCTGCAAGAACTCTTGAGTATATCTGAAGGCTTTTATCTGTTAGACCCTTCATTAGCATTTTCAGTATGTTTGCTGATACTTACAATGCTCGCTAAGTCCAGAAATGCTCATTTCCTAGTGAATTTAAGTCAAGCTGTTTGGTTGGTTGTTTTTTTTTTTTTTTTTTTCCCCTTTTCTGCTCTTCTTCTTAGTAATGCACAGAAACAATCAGTATCTGTTTCTACTTCCTTGTTTTCGAATAGAAGGTAACTTCGGTTTAGAACAAATGCCGTATGCCCTTTGTATAGCTTGTTCCTGAGCACTGCATAGTTTAGTGTCCCCAGCTGCCTGCAACCTTATCAAGCTGATGACTGCAAAATTCCTGTCAGAGTGCCTTTGCCCCATGGGCCTCTGCAATTTCACAAGTTTTTTCTTTCCTCACATTGTCCTGTGATGTGCAGGAGTGATCTTTAAGTCTTCCCTGTCCCATCTGTTGCTGTGTGCCTTGTGTGCTTTTCCCATAAATGTCTTAAATGTTTCCATGAATACTCCACTGCCCTCCATAGCAAGTGGAATGATTTAGCGTTAAAATACTCAGTATGAAAAAGTCAGTTACAGTTTTGCAGATTGCTATTCACACTACTCTCAAAATTCCAACTGTTGCATTTGTTACCATGAAGGTTGTGATGCTGCTTTCAAATGCTTGAAAGACATCAGTGTATCCTGAAGGTAGGGAGATGGTTACTTCTCGTGGTGTCACACAGAGTTCAGGAAGCGGTGTTTTGTTGCCGTGTAGCCACCAAACGAGTGACTGTGTGCCCAGGCTAAGTGTTAATTATTTCTAAGTAAAACAGACCTGGAATCATTGACTGGTGTTTCTTCAGTAACAGCACAAAAGGTGTTTCTGTTCAGTGAAACAGCCCTTCTGGGAGTCAGCTGCTGGAGAAATGACTTGGGCTCAGACTCTCACCTGCAAGGCTGGCCCCAAATTTTGTCCAGAGTCATGGTGTGTGTCCTGAACCCGGAGACATTTGAGGTCAGGCTGGATGGGGCTCAGAGCAACTGCTGAAGCAGCAGGTGTCCTTGCTTGATGCAGTGAACTTGGACTAGATGACCTTTAAAGGCCCCGTCCAACTCAAATGATTCAGTGATTCTTTAAATGTTCTAAACTCACTTGGAGTTAAATGAAATCCTAATGACAGTGTCGGTTAGTGTGCAATGTCAGACTCTGTCACAAATCACTTCTTCCAGTTTGCTTAGTAATGTTGGAATAACCGGAAAATAGACCTGGTTAGTTTGACGGGTAACAAGAGGGCTAACTATTTTCAAAACTCACATCTTGAAAGTGTGTGAGTTGGGATGTGGAGGTTTCAGTTGGTGATTTGGTGTGTGCAGTTTTCATGGAATTGTGGTTTTGCTTATGTTGGGCTTCAACAGCTTGGAAAAAAAAGGTTTTACTATTCAAGATCTTCTGATGCTTTGATGGCTTGGCTTCAGAGGAAGGTATCGAAGTACATTGATTTAAATACGCCACAAGGTGTTCTCACTGAACTATTAGCTTCAGTGTAACACTTGTGGGAGAGGCTGTAGAAAGATCAGTGCTGGAGAAGAAAACTGAACAATTACACTGGTAAAATGGCAATCAATTATTTGCTTTGTATGTGTGTATATATATGTGAAAATAGAAGTACATATATATACATATAAGTTGTTGGAAAATGTCTGTCTTCCTTTTCTCTTAACATAGGTGATGCTCCGTTCTCTGAGGAAAGCATATTTACAGTGTCTACCTGAGTTTCTTACTGTGTTATGGAAATAGTCCAGTACTAACAGAACATTGCAAGTGCCTTAGTAATGGGTAATTCCTGTGCATGTTTCACTCGGCGTCTGTTAATTGTAGTGCAGAAATGTCTTACATGGGATGGCAATTAAGATGAGTATGGCCTTTTAGAAGGTGAGAGGTTGACAGGTCTGTTCTTATTTTTATGCGTGACACATGGATGTATTTTGGTGGCTGCTGGAAAGCAGAAAGCAAGCAGAATTCCATATGGAAGCTTGATTTTTGTGCAGGTGTCACAATACCTCCTGCTAGGTAGGCACAGCGTCCTTCCTTGAGTTCCTCCTACGGAACGGTATTTGTAATATTGCTCAGTTTAGCTTGAGGATGGAAGTCTTGTCACTTTTTAGGAAAGCCAACGTTAAAACAAACCAAACCTCTACAACTACATACACCTTTCTCTTGGATTAGTTCACAAATGCTGAAAACTGATGAACATTGCAGCTTCAGACAGAAACATCTGTTGGGCACTGAGCTCCTAGGAGCGGCTGAATAACAGTTTGTGTTTGCCTTCTTCCTGTTCTTATCAGGCCTACATCATTCAGCCCTGTTGGACTTAGCCTTAATGAGCTGGTTAGATGGGTTCTCTTGCAGGAACATGAGCCTTCAGATGAGGAGAGGCAAGGCAACAGCCTCCTTGTAGTGTCTGTCTGTCACAGGCACTTGGGGCCTGAACCAATGAGATGAGTGCGTGTGAAAGGCTCTGTCACCTGCTGTGTGAGAACTGTGGGGAGACGTGGCAATACCTCATATCAAACATTTAACTTGGAGCTGAGGTTAAAAGGTGTCATTTTGGACACTACAACTTCTGGTGTTTTCACTTTACGTTTGAAAAACTTGTCAATCAGAGCCCACAGCCTCAAGCTGTAGCTTTTCACGCGTTGCCCCTCGCACATCCTCACTGTTGCTGTGTGTTCAGCTTGGTTAGGTCCCAGACCAGGAGAACAGGAGAAGGAAGGGCTGCTGGGTTTTATATTCGTTCTAAAACTGTTCTGCAAAGTCAAACTGAAATAGCAAGACTCCTGATCTGATCTTTTTTTTTTGAGGGCTTTTGTAGTGATCACACCACTGGTTACTGCAGTGATGATTGTTGTTATTCCTAGCTCTTAACTGGAATGTTTATAGTCAATTATGTAACTAAGAAAAAAAATTAACAAGAAAAGTATGTCCCCAAGTGATTGGGTTCTTAAAGCATTTCATGCTGGAGATGACAATTAACTGACTGTTAGTGAGCAACTTCCTCTTTGGCTTCGGACTTGGCAAATTAAATACTTTACTCAGGAAATGTTTTGTGGCCATTATAGCATGAAATGGAAGATGAAGTAAGTGCTCAAGGTCATTGCTGAGATAAGGTTCAAAGGGAAATAGAAGATAGTTCATGGTTTATTCCCCACAAGTTGTTCTAGCAATTTAAAGCTAAAAAATGGCAGAATATGTGCAGCTTGAAGACTGCACCAGCCCACCTTCTGATAGCAGCAGCAGCATCAAACTGCTGAAGATGCATTGGATAAGCACAGGAGGACTCCATGGTGTTCACATGCTCTGAAAAATGCCACAGATTTCAGATGCTGGAAATATCAAATTGAAAACATTGCTTCAAGTTAGGTGCATGAGTAAAGATTGTGTTAAAATATCAGAGGTGTAAAAATAGGCATGATTTTATTTCTTGCTGTTTAAGCAGCAGTTGAGCATGGAACCACTTAGAGCTGTGCTGAAAGCCCTGAAATGGAACAAAAATCTTGGAGGTATTTTTAGTTCTCAGTACGTAAAGGAGAGAACTTCTCTGCTGTGCACAAACAAGGATTAATATTAAATACTCTAAGTCGTTGTCTTAGGGCCAGGATTACTGCCCTTCATCTGCAGTGCAGTGCTATCTTCTAGCACTGTGCAAACAGCTTTTTGTACTTGGATGCAGACTGTAAGAGGTGGAACAGTGGTTTGGAGAAAGGCTTGTGATTATTTTTTATTTTTTTACCTTTTTCTTGTGCGTTATGATACCTATAGTTGATTTCCTAATCTGTAGTAATACAAAACTGGAAAAAGCCATCTCTGAATAACAAGGCTTGCATGCCCATTAATTTGTTTGTTTGCTTGCTTTTCAGGCCTTCAACAAACTTCCTGAGATCTAGATCACGCTTCAAATATTTACTCTTCTAATGCCTATTAATTATAGTCAGTGTCTGCCTGATGATTACTCAGCCATGGGATCAGAGGGGAGGGCCCAGCCTCCCTGCTCACCTCCTGCAGGCCAGCGCTGGGAGCCCAAACAGCCCCAAACCAGGCCTCCATGCTTCCCCATTTCAGCCCGGTTTGGTTTGTGTTTCTGAATGCGGGCTCCATCAGCAGCTTCAGGCAGTGAGGTTTGGCACGCCTTACCTTCTCCACTTGTGTTGTTGACACAGGTTGTTGGTTACTGAGGCTGAGATTATGGTTATTGAGGCTTTGATTATGTTCAAGCACAGCTTCCTGTAGGCCAAGAGGTTACGGGGAAAAGGCTACAGACTATAGAGGAACCGAGCAATGCCTGGGACTGTAGACCTTAGCTCCACAGTGGTTTTTTGGAGGCAAGGGGAAATGTACTCTGCTGGCTTCTAAAATAGCAAAAATATTCAGAAGAAGGGAGCAGCTGCGCCAGGGCCAAGCGCGGCCTTCCACCTGCGCAGAGTTAGGGGTTTGTAACAAAAGAATGAAGTAAATCAGCTCCTTGGGTATTGACTGCTGCTGAGGAAAAAGAAATCTCAATGATCTGCTCTCACTGTTGGTGACAGTTTGCACGTTAGATTGCATATGTTGCTTTTGGATAAGGTGAAAGATCGGTCTATCTCATATCTTCTGAGTAGTCAGTGAACAATGATGATCCAGGTGCTTTGCTGGGGTTGTACCAAGAGGTTATTCTGAATAATACTGTCACTGATCCCTTCATAATTTGTTCTTGGGTGTCATGTATTTTCAAGCTGGAGGGTTCAAGTCCCCTCATAGGTGCGTGTGAGACTGTGAAAGCAATCTCTCATTGTGGAGAGGTTGGTCTGGTGCTCCATTTTCTTTCTTATTTGTGTGACGCCACCAGAAGACCCTTTGCTGCCTTAGATTAGCTTGAAATTAAGGTGAGGAAGTTTGTTAGAGACTAAGGGATTTTTGTTAAACCTCTGTTTTATTCACCTTTAGTTCTTTTGGAAACAAATATCCGTGTGCTTTTGTAGGTGGGTAGAGAGAGTGCCCAGAATATGAAGTTCCCTGAGAGTAGCAGGTCGTGTCACAACACTAGAGTACTGCCCTTCTCATAAACGTGTATTAATGCACACTTGCTTTCTACAGCATCAACCACTTGACTAGCACATCATTGCTTTCTCGGTTTAGGGAACTGATAATTCCTACGTCACTTTCCAAGATGTGTTTGTGACTGAATACTGTGTTGTGGCATAATTAATATTCCTGTATGTCGAATTGAGGTGATTGAGCTATATATTTTTTTTCCTCTGGTCATAGGAAGTGGATTTGGATGAAGGACTCGTTGATTTGGATCTCAGAAATGATTCGGATACCCCCGATGTTCCACCACCAACAGACAGCACTCCAGAAATCCTCAAAAGGGCTTTGTCGGGCTTGTCTGCCAGGTATTGTAAAACAAACGAGCTCTCTAATTGGAGAGCTGCCAACTAAAATTATTGCAGACTGTATTGTAGTTTTAATTTTCACTTGGTACATACAAAAATTCAAGGATAATTTTTTATTTGTTGTCACAATTGATATTTATGCTTCAGAAGCCCATTTAATGTAATGTTGTTTCACAGCAGCTGAAGGTTGCCCACAGTTCACTGAAACTTTTGCAGTTGTTCTGTCTAAGCGTTGCAATAAAATATGTGAGAGAGCAGTGTTTGGGTTTGATCTCTGGAGTCAGAATTTCTAGGGGTTATAAACGCTTATTTCCTACATTCAAGCTTTATGAGGGGGCCGTTTGTGTTTAAGTGAAAGTGTTGATTCTCTGGATGAACTTCTGTAAGTTTTTTGGGCAGCATTTTCACTTCTGATAAGTAGGCCATGAAGAACAAGCTGTTTCTCCGTAACTCATACTGAAGGGGAACTTAAAGCCTTATTGTAATGAATTCCTCTCCAACTTTGTTCTGACAATTTCGGCAGTTCCACTTAGTGGCTTTAGCTGCCATTAGCTGGCAGATGAACATCAAATGAAGGTAGTTCAACTCTACATTAAATGCAAAATATGAAGCAAAACTGAGTGCCTCTTGAAGCAAGTGTGTCTACTGGGGCAGCAGTGACACGTAAAACTGGTATTAAAGGAGGACACTGCGAAGACCTTTTCTTCAAGATCTAGTGGGCTTTCTTTTGTGCTTAGCAGTAAGTTGTGATTTCTTGGTTGATTGTACATGTATGGGCAAGACTTTTGAAGGGAGCAAGGCAGAGGAGAAGAACTTACTGAAAAGGAAGTACGGTACACACTATTAATAATTAAAAACATTTCCATGGCAGAGAGGAGCATGCAGTGAGTTTATTCCCAGATATTTATTTATTTATTTATTTTTGTCTGTCTGTCTTCAGAGACCTGTATGCTGCTTTCCTGGCAGCCTTTCTTTTTACATGTAAGTCTTTGTACGGCTGCTTTCCCCATGTCTCCTGCTGTGAAAAGCTCCCAGAGGATCCTGATGTATTTTCACAGCCGCCTTCAAGGAGGGGCTGATCCATAACATCTGAAATAAGAGGGAGGAGAGGCTATGAGGAAAGAGGGAAGATTGCTACCTTTGCTTTCTTTTACCATGTGTTCTGTTGAGCTGGCAGCTAGTAAACTAGATTCCGTGTTTCTTGCTGTGTGTTCTATTAAGCAAGATGTATCTGGGCTTCCTGCTGCTTCTCATCAACTCAAGTATTCGCACAGTGTAGGAGTGGCCTTTGTTTTCATTTGTAACTGGTTGCTTTTTATACTGTTTCTCTTTACAGATGGAAAAATTGGTGGATTCGTGGGATTCTAACGCTAGCTATGATTTCTGTGTTTTTTCTGATCATATACATGGGATCTTTCATGCTGATGCTTCTGGTGAGTTTCTTTAAATACTCTGTATTGTGCAAGAGTTACTTAATCTCTTCGTCCAGCATAAGGAATAGCTGGAAGCAAAGTGCAGACATTACAGAAAGCAATTTCTCTTCTGTAAATGTAGGTGTCTTTGAACTACTGAAAAGGTTCTTAATTGGGTGCTTTTGGATGAAGACCTCCTCGGTAACTTTATTTGGGAAGAAATTAAACAAGTCAAATGGATTTTTGCCTTGAAGCTAATGAAATCAATCTATTTCCTTGTCTGATTCCCATTACCTTCTCATACCCTCCTTTGATTTTGTTTGAAATACACAAAGGGAGCTTCATTTTTCAGGCTGAGAAAAGCAGGCAGTTCAAGTCAGCTGGCAGTGCCTGGCGCTGGAGGACTTTCCTCAGTCACGCTCCATTAATTCCCTGCTTCTCTCCAGAGCTGCCTTGGCAGAGTGGAGCTAGGTGCCTGTCTGTGACACAGAGACAAAATGCATTTTTAGGTCACAAAGCAAACAAACGTAGTGGATTAGCATCCACTGCATGCTGCTTCTTTCCATTGCTTTTATTTCTGGTGTTCTTAGTGAATGAGGGTTTAATTATTTTTTTCAGTTGTGGCAAACAACAAAAAGAAACATGTTTCCTAAAATTCTGGAGTTTAGTACTTCTGGTTAGCTGCTTTGATTTCTCCCTCAGAATTGTCAAATTGTCAAAACCTTTATTTTTTCCATGTCTACTCCAAAACACCTCTTGAGATGCTGGAATGCTGTTTCACCAGTGTTATGGTCTGTATTACAGTCCCTACATCTGAATGAGTCTGGTTTGTATTTCCTGTCTTTAGAAGAATGACACAACAAGCTTGTGATTTCAGTGGCAGATGATTTTACTGAGTGTATGAAGAAACAACAAAAAAGCTCTGTTAAGTTGTAGCTTGTTGGAGAGACATTTCTTGCTATGTCAGTAGTCTATAACACTTTCAGAATAACTGGAGCAAAAAGAAACTGCTGGCTTTGCATTATTATTTGCTATATTCATGGTATGCTGCAAAGTTTCAGGCATGGCTAAGCTAACAGGATATTAACTAAAAAGCAATTGGGGTTAGTATAGAATTAATAGAGAATTCTTCCTCTGTACTGTAAAGCAAAAAAGACAGTTGCCTAATACAGTTAACTGTGTCTAAATTTGATATTTGTTACAGTGTTCAAAAAGTGAAGTAATAAAAAGTTTTGCTTGTGTATGATTTAGTTTCACTGCAGTCACATAGCTTAAATTTTCTCAGGAGTTGTCATGCTAAAACCAAATCTTAGTACTGGCCTGGAGGATGCCTGGAGAGCTGTAGGAAGGGTAATCCAGATAAGTTTGGAGGACAAGTCCTCAAACTGCTCCCAAAAACTGGGGGAATGTATATTGTGTTTGTTTGCTGTTGAGGCAGAAACTTCCACACCTTCACCCCCAAATGTCCTTTTCCTCTTAAGGACCAACCTTTAAATACTACGGGCAATCGTGACGTTAGAGTTTATGATGAAGGCAAAGCAGAATTGAGGGCATGAGCAGGGCAGGTGTCAGAATTAACTCGCTGAGGTGATGTAATACTGTTCAAACTGTTTTGAACAAGGTGAAGTGCATTCATGAGTGCAGGTGCTCAGAGAAATCCTGCAAAGCCTACGGTGATGGCATGCACAGTCAATGTGGGTAGGTTCCTCCTCCAGTGTCTGCACAAGATTACTTCTTAGCACTGTTTGAAAGCACTGGATATCAGGGCGAGATGGTCTGCTTGGTGACTAAAAGTTAAGCAAACCTGGCTGAGTCCCTCAGGGCCCGTGGCCTGCAGAGTGCGCCTCCAGACGTGCATAGGCAAGCACAGCCATGGTGAGATCGTGAAACAGCAGCAAGGCTGTGTGGGGTGTGATACTTATACCTGCACTGGGTGACCTGTGCTTCTAATCAGCACCGATAATTATCAGTGTAGACTTACCTGTAATGAAGTACTTGCAAATGGAAGGCTTGCTATGTTGCGTTGCACGACTTTTTTTTTTTTCTTTTTTTTTTTTTTCTTTCTACCTTGAACGTATCTCTTGAATTTAAATAAAACTTAACCAAAAGAGCTTTCTCTTTATGGAAATGCTTTTGACTTGCTGCTATCCAAGTATTTTAATGAGGAGCAGTCAGGAATTCTCGCTTATTTCTTGAGGGGATTCTTGCAGCTAGCCCAGAGTGCCTTTTTTTGACAAGCTCAGTGTGTCTTTTTTACAAACCTAATGGCTGTGAGTTAAGGGGGCAGGGACAGTTAAGCAGAGCTTGACTTTCTCCTTGTTCTTGTTTGGAAGCTGTCTCCTTTCTGCATGGAATTTAAATTTGGAGTAATTTTTTCCCACCTTAATGTAGGCTGCAGTGCTCCACACAGCCTTTAAGAAACAAGCAGTGGTCAATGTACATTGTTCCTTCTTCTTCTTAATTTTAGGTCTTGGGGATCCAAGTGAAATGTTTCCACGAAATCATTACTATAGGTTACAGAGTGTATCACTCGTATGATTTACCGTGGTTCAGATCCCTCAGCTGGTAAGTAGCAAGCAAGATGGTCAATAAGTAGAGATGGGAAATTTAAGTCTTAGCACTGTTTGTATCCTGGCATGATGGAAGGATAGCTTTGTAAGTCATGTGCAGATGTAAAACCTGGCATCTGTCTCTACTACATGACTCTGTAATTGCCTTCCTTTTGTGAACTTGAACAAATAAGTTGGCTTTTTACTACTTTTTTTCCTGTTATAAATATGTATGCATGTACACATTTGTGTGCATGCATATATGCTTGAAGTCACAATTAAGCATTTGGAAGCTGCCTGAAAATGTGCATAGCCAAAGAATCACCTGACCTATATTATCTGAAAAGCTTTGACTTTTGCAAGTAATTCTGTGCACTTTTAAAGGATTCTTTTCACAAGCAAGTAACTGAAATCATGATGTACAAGTTCTAAATCCTTTCCTGTTTTGAGTTTAATCGCAGGACTGGGTAGATAGAAGTGGTAGGGGATATTTTGAAAGCCACAGGACAGGATTAATGTTTCTGACAAATCCGGGGTATTTGTGTCAATGTCCTGCTTCTTAGAGGGTGTACAGCGTACCACTTGGTCTACTTTGGCAGCTAACTACAGTCTACCTATGTATGCTAAGTTCAAAATCAGCATTTCAGTGCCACCCAAAGTCTTGCCACTGAGACTGCATATTGAGACCTATCAGCTGGGTGGGAGGGTACTGCTAGTGATTGGAACGTGAGCTGTGAGGCATAGTTTGAGGGGCAAAGCCTTGCAAAGTGGACTTTAGGATTGGCTTGGAGGAGAAGACAAGTACTGATCTCCATAAACATCCAGATATCCAGCCCATCTTGAATTATGAGTTTTTGGCTTTTCTGACTCCATTAAAAAGCTGAAGAACATGCTGCTCGAGAAACGTGCATCTTTTAGTGGTTTTGAATTTGATATTTTTTCTTTTTTTTATTTGCATGTTAGCTGGTTTGGCTGACATGAAGCTTTTTTTTCTTTTGAAAAATCCTTCAGAAGGAGATGTGTGAAGGTGACATCTCACTTCATTCAGACTTTGTGTTTGGATGTACTTCCAGTTTATTTTGGAAGAAGTTGTGGTTGGAGCTGTGTCACTGATTTGTGAATGGACTTTAACTCCATAAGATTGTTGTTAGGTGAAGGAAGCTAGAAGTGAAAGACACAGGAGAAGATGCAGCTGTAACTCTTTCACACAAGAATCTTCAGTCCAGATGGCAAAAGTAAAGTTCTGATCAGATCCTCAAACACATCGACAGAGGTTTGAACTCAGAGGTTTTGTTCTGCAAGTATCTTATTATTTTCTGTGGCAGATATCATGAGCTTTTCATGTTAGAATTGAGTACAAGTATGTACCCAGTTGTATTACTGAGTATAGAAGGTATCTGATACTTATTCTGTACTGTGAGAATATCTGAAAAGGGCTTTTGTAGGTGTGAATTATTCAGTACAGTACGTGAAATGATTTTTGTGACATTTATTTTTGTAATCGGATTTCATTATAAGAAATAAATTGCAAAATTTGCTTGTTGGAGAAGGCTTCAAACCAGAGGTATAGTGAAAATCTGAATTTATTCTTGCATTTGTATTCCATCATGAGCTCTTGCCACTTAGTTGTTTTTCTTATTGTGTATGTTTGGGAGCGATGTTAACTGAATGACACAACCCTGTATTACCGTGTTAAAATAATAGCTACCTTTATTTGTTTTAGGTATTTCTTGCTGTGTGTCAATTACTTTTTTTATGGGGAGACTGTGGCTGATTACTTTGGTACGTTTGTTCAGAGAAGAGAACAGCTTCAGTTCTTAATTCGTTACCACAGGTTCATCTCTTTTGCACTCTACTTGGCAGGTAAGTGTGGGGAATGATAGAAATTAAAGATCTTTGTGCTGCATTTCTTCCTGTGTCAATTTGTGTATGTTTTCATGGTGGGTTTTGTTTTTTTTTTTTTTGTTTGTTTGTTTTTGTTGTTCTATTTTGTTCTTGCTTTTTTTTTTTTTTTTTAAAGCTTTCTGCTGTTATCCTCTCTATTAATTTTTCTGGTGCTGTTTAAGGAGATTCCCAATTCTATTCTCATCATGAAAATGAGTGTAATTTTTGCATTTACTCAGGGAGTAACCTAAGAAAAAGCAGATTATCTTAGGAAAGCTGAGCTTATGGTGCTCATTAGGAATCATCTTGGACTGGTTTTATGATGATTGATGATCCTGAATATGTGCAGGGTGTTTTGGCAGTCTGTGAAATAGCTTATATTCACCATTTCTGTGATGGGTTAATGCTGTATTGTGTAAGTGTTCTGCCAGGTCAGCAGCCAGGAGCTTGGTACTATATTTTCAAGCTATTTTTCCAAAGACCTGAGAGTTTGTTTTATCTGCAAGATGCACTTTTGCTTGCCTCATGGATAAATTTTCCTCCCAGTCCAGCTTTGTGAGATATGGCTTTGTAAACCACTGAATACAGTCTGCTCTGCTTTCAGGAATGCAACATTAATATTACTATTATTTACTATATTAATATTATCATTAGCTTAGAAAGTAATCAATTGAAGACTCGGGTTGTTCTAAGGAGCAGGAGACTGCCATGCTGAAGTATTCATAACATAGATGAAGAAACCTGCTGTTAATAAAGAGCTTTGTCTACTGTTACTGTTTTTTAAGCCAGATGAAAGTTTTTCTCCATGCTTAGATTTCCATGATGGGACCTTGGAAGGAACAAAACAGAAGCTTCTTACTAAGGATAGCTAAGTCTGCTCTAATGAGAATAATTCTGTGCCTGTGGTTACTGAGCAGAAGCAAATACTCTGACCAGAGGAACTGGGAAGAGCTTCAAGGGAAGAGAATGACTGGCATATCATGGTTCAGTGTCATTGAATATACAGTGGTACAAACTACACTTACTTTATTTTACAGGCTTCTGCATGTTTGTTCTGAGTTTAGTGAAGAAACACTATCGTCTGCAGTTTTACATGGTGTGTATTACCCACTTTGCTGTGGTCAGTCATGTTATGAATGTCACAAGAAAGAATCATGTCATTATGTTCATAAAGTAGCTTGGGAGTGCTTCAGCTGGCAGCTACGTGATACAGAGTAATGTCAGTCTGAGTGTTTACACCATGGGGCTGCCTCTGTCAGAAAGTGCAGTCTCTCAGTGAATCCAAGCTGTGATTAATGAGGCCCTGCACATACCCAGGGTGATGCATCTCTTAGTGACAGATGGGTAAAGGAGAGGCTCCTGGTGAGAGGCACGTGCCTTTCGTGCAGGCCAAAAACCAGACACGTTCAGCACAAAGCTGGACATGACTCTGGTGACCACAGGCCCCGCTGCAATGCTAGGAGGGAGCCTGACCTGAACACCTGTGTGGGGAATTGGTTTTGTGCCAGCAGCACAAAACCAGCACTTAGCAGCACTTCTTCTGTTGTATAAACATGTGCTTCTGTCTCTCATCTTTGGTCTTCTAGTACAGTGTGTGGTGGATAGTCAAGAGCATTAACTTACAGTTTTCTCGTGTAATTTTTGTAATGTGCCTTTTTTATATCTAAATTGAAGGTGTAACATCGCATCTATTAAAAAAGATAGAAATGACCAGAAAACAGTAAAACAGTAAGGCAGCACAGCCTTTTTATTAAAAAACAAACCAACAAACAGAACAGTTTTTGAATGTCTTGTGCAACCTGAAGATTTCTTAAGGACCTGTTTCTGCTGTTATCTCCTGTTTCTGCAGGTGCCTTAGATGGCACTTTAGCCTTGCAGATTGCTCATTTTGGACTAGGAATTGCATGATATTTAAAATCAATAAATAAAAGATTTACCATGTTTGTGGGATAAGTTGCTTGATGGAGGGGAAACGCAGCTTTTCTGGGAGAGGTGGTCTTTGGTAATTAGCAAAGCACAGGTCTTTGATTTGGCACAAGGTAAATACACTGCTTTCCCTTCTGGAAAAAGGAGGGGCAGAGGAATGTGCTTGGTCATTCGACATTGTGATTTTCAGAAGGCACTAAGGTGTGACTATGTAAGAATTTCAGAAGAACAGAAGGAGCAGCATATCCTCTGGATGGGAGAACACTGTTTGGATAGACAAGAACAGCCATCTGGTTTGAGTTGATATTACAGCACCTTTGTATGAATCACTGAAGTTTTGCTTCAGAGTTCCTTTACTAACCAGCGAATAATATGTTCAGAAAGTTTAGGTCAGTTCTTGCACTCCCTTTCAACTTTCTTCAGTTTTCTTAACTATAAGTAGTTGTGGACTGCTATAGGAAAATACATGTGATAAGAAAACTTAAGGAAGTACCACGTTGTACGTGTCAAATAGTCCAGACATGGAGTGCTTAAATCCAGAGTTCCATGGAAAAATGACCAGGTCTTGATCTAAGAGTTTTTGGAAAGTGGGATGTAGAAGCATTACCTGTAGACTGTTTGGAAGCCACCTGATGGGTAGAGTATTGGTGAACTTGACGGTTTAAATGTTCATGCCCATAAAAATTAACACTTCCTTTTCTCTCATCCTGAGAAATCTCATGTTTCCTGAGAGAGTTGGTGTTAAGTCATGATGTCCACATCTGTGTGACATGACTCTTTCATGAGTTCTTCATTGCCATTTTATTGTTACAGTTCTAACTTGTCTGTTACATGTATATACACAGAATATCACATTGCTTACCTTTCTTCACTGCTTTCGTGCTGAAAGTTCACGTATGTCTCACTAAATTGGATGTTCAACTGCACATTAAAAATTCTGGGTGATGGAAGAGGATGAGGAAAGCTTTTAAAGTTTCAGTCCTTTCTTCAGAAAGCCGGCTAACTTGTGATATACTGTATGCATGCACTCTGCATTATCGCTAGAGCTGGTGTACGTGAGAGCCCCTAAGGGCTCTTCTAGCTGACATGCCAGTATTGATGATGTACTGATCCGTGTTCTCACTAACTGTTGTGTTGTTGCATTGTTAACAGTTCGCATGGACTCATGTCACTTTGCTGATCACTGTAACTCAATCTCATCTAGTCATCCAAAATCTCTTTGAAGGCATGATCTGGTAAGGGGACAGCAATAAACTAATTTGTAACTCTATTGCATTGAAAGGCCGGCTCTGCTATGTAGTGGGTGTGGCTAGGGAATAACTACAGTGGAAGTAGCACAAGATAAGAGCACCTGTGCTTAGTTGGACGGGGAGTTGGAGGAAGTGGGAGCAATGAGGTGAAGGTACAGGACAGTGGGCAGAGAGCTCTCCAGCCAGATGGCAGCCACAAGGATGGTGGTTTCAAGTAACCACTTCGTTTGTCTGCCAGGTTTGGGATTAATTGCAAATGTTGTGAATATGGCATTTTGCTGAGTGCAGGAACACAGCTGCTCAGGAGCTTTAGGTACCTCAATGCTACTGAGGTTGGACCACTTAATTTGGAAGACCAAATCTGGCTTTAGGAGTCCCACTTGAGACCTTTCCAAAAGGTTTGAAGGCCATAAAATCCTCAGAGATAAGAAACAACATTGTGGGAATTTTTACAAGGTAACTAAAAATGTTCTCACCTATTTTTAGCAGGCAAAACAAAATAGTTCTGGCAAGTGATGTAGCATGGATCAGTAGTCTGAAACCACACGTCTTGTCTGTATGGAGGTTCAGGTGAAACGACAGTAAAGACTCCCTTTTCTTACTGACTGATGGCAGTCTCCAAGAGCAAGGTGTCTATTAGAAGAAAAACGCTTCTCCCTTCCTGCCTTTAGTTTGTATGCTAAAGTTCAAATCAATTTGTTTGAAATTCTCTATGAGTTTAAATCTTGAATGTTGTCCAGTCATCCCAAGTCTTGTTTCCAGCTACATATTCAATTCTGATGATGCAGTTAAATTTGATGACTTCAAAACTTCTCCCCCCAAAAGAAGTAATGCTTTCCCACCCCACACCTCTGCAGGTGGTAAATTACAAGTTGAGAAAGAAAGCAGCAGTGCATGGCAAGCAGTGTGTTCTTCCAAGAACTTAATACTGCATGTTCTCCTTTTCCTTTCCTGATGGAAGGACAATGGGAGATTATTGCAGAGAGGACATGTTCACAGCTAGAAAGAAGAAACAAAGCCTTTGACAGAGTTTGTTTAACTGAATTCTTTTCATAGTGATTTAGTTCATGTGAAAAGCTGAACCAAGTTTCCTTGTTAGCTACCTACCGATTTGGCACATAATTATAACATCCAACTTCTAGTTTATTAATACATCTCTGCCTTGAAATGGGGGGAAATGCAAGTTAACAGGATCGAGTAGCAAATTCAGATGCTATCTGCATGCAGAGAACACTTTAAAAAGCTAACACAGGCTGCTGCAAACTGATGAGAAGAAAAAAAAAAGCTGGCTTTCTTTTTTAAAATTTAAGTATCATTGAACTTATAAGGACTTTGCTTGCTTTGATGTTAACAATAATATTAACGTGTTTCTTTCTGTTGATTTCTTCTTAACGGTGGTATCAGTCAGCAGGTCTGATAGAAAAACCCAGCCTGTTGTCATTTTAAGCTCGTGTGCTAAAATTAAATTTTAACTTGAATTAGCATGGATCTCTAACAGTCTTGATTAGCTGAACATTAACATCAGTATGGCTAACTGTGTTACTTAGGGAGGAACAAGGTGAAGACATTTTGAAGCATAACAGTTTCTAAGTATTTCAGAACATTTCCCAACAAAAATGCTGCTGTGTGAATTATAAATTATTTGTACTGAAGCTCAGGCAGTTTTCCCCTTTCTCTATGTGAATCTTTCGGTGCATCTTTCTCTAGGTTTCTGGTGCCAATTTCGAGTGTTATCTGCAATGATATTGCTGCTTACATTTTTGGATTCTTTTTTGGCAGAACTCCATTAATTAAGGTATGTATGTAAGTATTCTTTGAGTTTTGACAGTTTACAACATTTTTGATACTTGCTAAAAAATAATATTTATAGAATAAACACTTTCATCTGTTCTGCAGGTTACCTATTTGCTAAAAGCCACATTATTTATCTGATTTCTAGAGATTTGTAAGTGGCAACTGAAATTATGGTGAATGTAGTATTAACATCATAGTATAATACAGTTGCAGCCTATTTCATTGTTAGCGTATTTCATCCTTTTTCTTTCAGTTTCCCATGCAGGTTAAACTGCGTGCTTCCTTCACAGTGTTTAGTGACTAACTTAGCTGGTGACATTCAGTATTCCATGTGTACATGTGCTCACAAGCAGGTGTTGATGTTTGCAAGTGAGGTACTAAAATGGAGGTGGGGATGAAAGAAGGTTTAGTGATGCAATTGTTGCAGCTAACTCTGTCTTGCACCTAGCTGTCTCCCAAAAAGACCTGGGAAGGGTTCATTGGAGGTGGCTTCTCCACAGTTCTATTTGGATTTGTTGTAAGTAACCACAGGACTTTCCTTCTATAGATTCCGCCTTTAATGTTCTGTTTTCAGGGGAAATAAAATTACTGACAAATTAGGTCATCTCAAACTGCAGAAAGTCTAAGAGTTGGGGATTTGTGGTTGATTATCTTTTTAGCTACAGAATTCTGCTTAATCATAACTGGTTTTAAAAGTTAAGGACAAGGTTTGTACTTCAACTGAATTACTTAACTGACTGTTTTGCCATTACTGTTACAGACTATATCCGGAGTTCTTTTATCTAATAATTACATCTCTATTTTAAAATTTGAGTTTATTGAAAGCATTGCTTTTGCTTTGTGAAGAAGTAGCTTTGTATTGTATGCTTCATGTTGTTATTTTTCCTGACTGAAATGCCTCTGGGTTTGGATGGGTACTTTATTCTGATGGTATGTCTAGGATAAAAGAGCAACATAACTGATTTTACATGTAATTTATCACCAAGGTCAGAATTTGTAGGTACCAGACCTTGTAGAAGTAGTAGTTCAAGTTTTAATAGAAAAGTAAATTGGAAAGAAATAATGAGTTGTAGCTGTATGGGGATATTATAATGCAGAAATACACTGCATATGCTTCTGAGAGACAGAAAAATAAACTGGGAAATTATCATGAAGGGTATTGAAATTCCACATCTGCCTGCCTTGGTGAGGCATTCTCCACCCTAAAACGAGGGCTCCGTTGTGGTCTCTTTATTACCAAAAATTTTCATATCCTGAGCTTGCGATAACAAAGTCATTTATTAGAGTAGGTTTTTGACTGTAACAACTAATGCATATTTCAAGAGTTCTTGTTCTGCTTTCCAGTTTTCCTATTTCTTGGCTCAACATCAATACTTTGTCTGCCCAGTGGAATATAACAGTGAAACCAACAGATTTGTGACAGAGTGTGAACCTTCAGAGCTTTTCCAGCTGAAGAAATACTCTGTGCCACTATTGCTTCAGGCTGTGTTGGGATGGGTAAGGAAAAAATAAGGCTTTAATTAAGATAGAAACTACAAAGCCGAGCTTTAAAGTTTTCCTAAACCTTTTAGAAGGATGTTCCAGCACAGGTAGGTCTTCAGGGTTAGAAACTGAATTGTTACTCTCAGCTTCTCTTACTCACATGAGGAGGTGGTCACTCAAGCAGAAGTGTTGCTGAAGGAAATGTCTATGTCCTTATTGCCTGTATTTGTGCAGGAAGTGGATGGTACTGCTCACTGTGCTGTATGTCATGTTCAACCACTGCTGAAAAGCTGATACAGTCTTAAGCTGTTACAGTCTGTGGAAAATAGGCCGAGGCTTGTTACAGCCAGAGTTAGCAGTAAGGGTGAATACTTTTGTTAGTAGAAAAGCAGTCCATTTTTGAGTTAGTGTGCAGCTGCATCTAGACTAGAACTTGCACTGTTTCTGTGAAGTGGATCTTGTGTAATTAAGGCCATTCCTTCTATTGTACACGGAGAAAAACAGACTAAGTTACAATTTCACCCAATGGAGTCATTGCAGCATGTCCTCATATGCAGCCTGTGCCTCCTGTCAGGAGGAGTGCTGTGTCTTTAGCTGGCAGGAAGTAGGTCGTTGCTCCTCCTGCCATATCAGTTTTGCTGCCTTCATCACAGGAAAAGATTAAGTAAAACTAGAGTCTGTATGCATTTCATATATATATATATATATGAATTCTGTGTAAATACGTGAATAACTACATGCACACACACCCCACAGCCAACCCTGCATGGACAGAGGTGTGCATGCACATGTGTATACAGACACACAGATACATCCACCCACACACAGCCAGATGCATACCCACATGCATACGAGTGTGCACATAAGTACATCCACATCCCCCAAACATCTCTACCCACCCCCCTCACCTCCATGTGCAGATCCACACCGTGCATGTATGTGTGTACACATACACCCATGCACGTGTGTGCCCTTATTTATATACATTTGTAAACATGTACACATGTGCAAAATATATGCAGAGAGAGACCTAACCCCCACACATCTACACTCTTGTGTATGTAACATACCCATAGCTGCACACAGAACTCACATGTATACTTACCGTGCATGGATATATGCATCCACATGTATAAGTGCGTGTGTGGGTATGTACACCCATGCACATTCATGTACCTGCATGCATATACACCCTCACACATACACGAGCATACATACGTATGCATATGTGCATGCAGACACACTTTTAGACACATGTATATGTAGACACGTATACATCCCACTCCATGTGTATGTATGCATACACCCATATGTCCCATGCACATACAGATGTGTGTATATACATCCATGCTTACAGACACACATGTATGCTTGCACAGCTACATATACACAAGTGTGCACACATGTAGATGTGCAGATATACATTGCATAGCCAATTCTGACACAGGGATGTATATATATGCATACATACACTGTGCATGTGTGCATGCACACATTTGTGTACACTCTAATGTGTACGTATGTTCACTTCTGCATACATACACAAACATGCAGACACTTATCTGTATGCAGACTGTGTGTACATGCCCACAGACATGTATATGTGCACATGTGGTACAAACATTGATATGCATGCCTACTCAAGTGCAGACATGCATGCTTATGCACATATATTCACATGCACATATGTGCCTGTATGTATACATTTACACACGAGTGCACTCAGGCACACTTATGTAGGTAGATGCACACAGATGCATACACATATGGACAGGCCCACATGTGTGCACGCGAATGTTAACATGCATGTAAACATGTGTATTCATATACAGGCACATGTACATCCATGCATACACGTGTGCCCCTGTGCATATATACATCCCTGTGCATATACACATGCAAATATACATGTGTAGACAGGTGTGCATGCATATATACACAGGCACATATACACACAGACTTATGTGTATATGCACTCACACATACACGTGCGTGCACTTAGGCACATATACACACACACCCCACACGGGCACACACATATGCCCTAATCTTCCCGGTGAGACACAAAGGAGGTGCCTGTGACAAATGTATGATACAAGTGGGTTCTGCATCACCTTCTGCTCTATTCATTGCCTCAACACTGAGAACAAGCAGACAGTGCTAAGAAAGATGGTGTGGTTTAAGTGCTTTTACGTGAGCATAGCATTTAATGAGAAAAGCTCACAATTGTAACAAAAAGGTGTAAGTGGAAATTGTTGCTGATGTTTGCAAAAAACTGAGGATTATAAATAATAGCCGCAGCTGGTAGTTCAAAACAAAACAAAAAGAAGACTGCATCTAGAAGCAGATCCAGTATTTTCCTGAATGAACACACCATTGCTTCAGAGGCTGTGAAGTTGACAGCAAATTTAAAAATTATTTTTAAGTAGTTAATTAGTGTGTAAGCTGGGCTAAGTCTTGTGTTGTCCTGCTGCGTTATGACTTTTGTTAAAGGACAGGGTGATGGGAACAGCCAGCTCTGTCATGGTCCAGTTGAGACGTGTCCACCCCAAAAAGAGGTGGTGGTTGCACACACACCTCAGGAGTAGTATTGAAAAACTCTGTGTCCATTGAGGAGATAATTACTTAGAGTAGTATTTATAGAAAATGACCATCGGTTTAGGAAACAGTTGGTGTTGGCCACGATGCAGATCAGAAATGTAAGGTACCGGAGTTTCAATTGCAGGTGGAGTGTGTTGAGAATTGCCAGGGAAGGTGTGCTCTGCATGCAGCAGCACTGCTAGGCTGGAGCTTGTGCCATTGACTTGGGTGAGCTCAAAGATGCAAAATAAAACTTATCATCATTAATGTATTATTTGGCAATAGGTACGTGTTCTCCTTCCTGACAATCAAGTCTCTCTTATCCCTAAGAAATGTAATGGGCCAGAAGAAATGTTAAGTCTTTGAACAAGATGAGGGGGATGTTATATGGTCAAATGTAAAATCAGATATTAATGGAGTAAACCTTTCATATCCCAGTGCTGCACTGTGTATGTGTAGGGGACGGCATGGCAGACTTGTGTAGAAATTCCTGTCTGTCTCATGGGAGCACTTCAGAGCAGCAACTGTGACAGTGAACTGCGTGACAGCAGCCAGTTTCTGGGGACACTGAGTCACCTAATCTGCAGAAATCCTATTGGCTCTGTGGAAAGCTCCATTCTCTACAGGATACAGAGCTGGAAAAGCAGGGCAGGGGAAACTTTATTTCTTCTGATTGTTTGGCTGAAAAGTATTACTCTCTATTGGGAAAACTGAAGCTTTGTGGAAATGTGCCCAATTTTAAAATATTTAAGCTGACACATGCCTAGAATCAAAGGTACTGAAATATCCTGTTAATTATTTTTCTTGTAGGAAACGGTGAATATGTACCCATTCCAGATGCACAGCATTGCACTGTCAACGTTTGCCTCACTAATTGGGCCATTTGGAGGATTCTTTGCCAGTGGATTTAAACGAGCGTTCAAAATCAAGGTGTGTCATCATTCCCATATGCTGTCTTTGTTCTGATTGTCTTCTGTATGAGATTGGTTGCTTTGAGGTTTTTTTTCATGTGTGGATTCCATTACCTAATCTTTTTCAGACGATGTATGAGCTGTGCTTCAGTAGCAGTACCAGCTCTTTGTTTTATTGGATATATATGTGTGTTATTCCTAAATTATTACTATTATTTTTTTGCATTTTGGTTGATACTATTCCTAGCTGTGCTTCTAAGGTGAGCAAGATGCAAGATAATTATATTCCACACCACTCAGTAGATACTTATCAATCTGCAGATACCTGACCACTGCTCATGGTGGTTTGCCCCAATCTTTACAGCATTAAAGCTGTACTTTACAGACCCAGCCTGTGCTGCATGCAGATGCTGACACTTCTGTTCAGCAAGGCACGAGTGACTGACTGCCTATGGCAGTGCAGCACTGCATTGTAGCAAGAGCGTGTGCTGACACACGATGCGATGTGTTGGCCTCTTTATCGCAAGTGTGGCTGGAATTCAGTGACACTGGACTGTGGGAGGAGAGTAGCCACACATTTTCTTCTGACCTCCTTATGTCTTGGCAGGACTACTGTAATTCTTAACCTGTTCCTTCAGCCTGCTAGTTGTGGCACGTGCTTTGCACCAAAGCATATAAGTAAACCTCTCTGGTCTGAACTCCCGCCCATGCGCTTGTGCTTATTCCCTTTCCTCACACTGGTCCAACCACTTATCTGATGGCTGGCTACTTACAGCCTAGTGCACTGTTATGCCTGTGTCTGCTCTGTAAGACAAACATGGGTAACACAGAAGGTGGCATATTTGTTTGCATCTGAGTCTTTTTTTTCTTTTCCATTCCTTTTTTTTTTTTAAAGGGATTGTTTGATGACAGGGCTTTGTGATGCTGCTGAATGTACTAATGTTGCATGTACATGCTATGGCTTTTAGTTACTCTTCTGAGAAGCCAGTGATAAAACTGGTAGGTGAATGAGCATATGACTTGTTAAGTCGCTGGGAGTCAGCAGAAAGGGATTTCAGTTTTTGCTTTTCCCTTGGTGTAAGTGCATCAGTGTCAGCTAGCAGTAGTTGCTAAGGCAAGAAAAGTGTTGAAGAGGAGAATGAGATCCTTCGGGGCAAGAAACTGCAGCCATTGGTTCAAGAAGCTTTCTTTTCTTTCTACAAAAAGCAGTGAAGTACATGCATACACAGAGATGTACTTGGTGGTGGTGGATGTGCACTTGACCTGCCTTCTAGTATGTGACTCTGGGGAAGTTGCTACATCTCTTTCTTTTTCACTTTTTCTTACCTCTTGCCTCATTGTTTTGGCTAGAAAGTTCTGTAGCAAAAAGGCACTTGCTAAGTTTTGTCTCAGTGCATTGAAACCATAGCTTAATAGCATAAAATGTTGCTGTCAGGTGAGCCTTGGTGTGTTTCATCTGAATCGCTTACCGTAATGCTTTTTCCTTCTGTCCTTCACACCCTGAAGGATTTTGCAGACACAATCCCTGGGCACGGTGGTATAATGGATCGCTTTGATTGTCAGTACTTGATGGCTACTTTTGTTCATGTCTACATCACCAGTTTCATAAGGTATGGGTTTTTTGAAATTCAAGGTACTCAAATACGAGTAGGAGCTGTGCCACATGTACCACAGTGTTTTGGTCTGAGCTGTGCTCTGCATAATTAGCGCAGTGAAGGTTGTTTCTATGTTTGTTGTATGCAATGACTTCAAATACAGAGTCATGAAGAGCGCAGAGATCGCATAAGATTTGTGCAACATTAAAGCTATGCCCAGGGTATCAGCGGTAACCCACGTAACGTCAAATATGAGGCTTTTTGCTGCAGCCTCATAGAAGGCTTCACAAAGAGCCTGCATGTTGTGACTGTGGTTCTTCCCGTGAGCTTAAGTATTCTCAGTGGCAGGACTTGAAGCTTTCTGTTGGAGAGTAAAACGCTGCCATTAAAGAGAGTAGAGGACTTCTTAAAAATGCTGCTTGTCATCCCACACCAACTTTCACAAAGGTGAGATCATGGGAATGGAAATGCTATTGCAGGCAGTCATTTTAGTTCCGGGGTGGGGGAAATCGAGGTAAGGAACATGAGATGGCCAAACTGATACACGCCCTTCGTTTTGTAAATGCATTTGAGTAAATAATAATGAGAAAATGAAGAAGTTACAGATTTTTTGCTTCATATTGAGTTAATTGTACAGGTACACAGTAAGTGACTGACTGGATTCCTGTTATTTAGGGATGCACAGTTTAATTTAAGAATTTATTATTATTATTATTATTTTACTCTGACAACTTTCCATTTAGTTGGTATTTACACAGCTTATCCAGCAACTGGTATTAAAATGAAAAAGATCTTTTGATGAAGACTGTGATTATGGTAATTATGAACAAATCTGTGAATCTTTTTTGTTATAACCTTTCTTAATATTCCCATTTGATAGTAAATACAGGCACCATTTTTTCTTCCTGTTTACATTCAGCAAATGAGAGTGCTGGCCCAGTGATGCTTGCCCATGCACCCTGTGGCAAAGGTTAGACTGGGTGAAATCCATACTTTGGTGCTGCCAGACAAAAGGGAGGCACTGTTTCTGCAGCAGAGCAGGGTGAGAATGGAAAGCTATCTGAAAGCTTCTTTAGAACCGCTGTTCATCAAAAAAACTTATTTCATTGACAGGGGCCCAAATCCCAGCAAAGTACTGAAGCAGCTGTTGGTCCTTCAGCCCGAGCAACAACTCAATGTGTACAGAACCCTGAAATCTCATCTTGTCGAAAAAGGGATCCTGCAGCCATCTCTGCGAGGATAGTTTGCCAAAACAGAGGAATGGTGAGAAAAAGACATGCAGACGTTGTCTGTGGAAAAGCACTGTAAGTGTGCACAAAGGTAATGGCTGAAGGAAGGCTACATCATGATCTGGACGAGGTGAATGTTTCTTTCCTTAAAGGAATGCGAATGCTGTGACTTTCCAGTAGGATACAGGAGAAGAGTTATTCCTAAAATAATTAAAATGCTTACAGAGTAACAGTACTGTGCTATGTATTTTATTTCCCGCAGTGAATGGTAGCAGGCCTTCTTCAGCACTCAGCCTGACAACGTTTGTATTTTAAAAAGTCCTTTTTAAGATGTCTTGGATTAGAACAGTAAGCCTGAACTCCCCATGAGTTATACGTCCAGCAAACTTTAGTGAAATTTCTCAGTTCACTGGTGGCTTTTAATGAGTTCTCCATTACTGTATGTCATAGCAATACTTTTTTGGTGTAAAGTGGTTACTGTAGTAAAAATACAGAAGAGGCAGGCAGCTGCTCATTTAACCAGCAGGGCGATGAAGACAGAGTTGGCCAGAAAATCCATGTTTGCTTGGTCAAAGCAGTGCTGGTGGACTGCTGTCAGACCTCCTATATTTACTGAGTCACTGTGAAGGTGAACCTTTGCTGTGTTTTTAACTAATCAGCTTTCTTATGAAACTACTTCATCCTTTCAAGAGGGAGATATCTGTACTGGAGCATACTGAGCTGACTGCGCTGTGGAGCTGCTGTTTTTTAAAATTAATGTTATGCACTGTAAAGAAGCACATACGTCTGGGAGCAGTAATTACCTGAAGGTGGGATTCTCCAACCCTGTAACCAGATTGGAAAGAATTCGGAGTTTAAGAACTTGGTTTCCCCAGGATGATCAGTGTCTGAAGACATTATTTCAAGCCTTATTCCTTGTGCCTACTTACTACTGTGTAGAAGGGGATTTTTTTCTCCCTTTTAAAAGCACCTTGAGGTCATGTTATATTCGTGTCTTACTGAGTGAAGGCAGAAACTTTTATCTCGTGAATGTGCGTGATGCAAGACGATGCATGGCTCTGCTGTTGCGTGGTACTGTTTTACTAAGAGGATCTTCAAGCAAGCCTGGGCAACAACATAGGGATTCAGATGAATTTCTGAAGGAAGCAATTGCAGTGTAGGATTAATGGGACACAGGAGAAAAGCTGATGCTCTGCATTTCTCAGTCCTGGCCGCTTTTGAACTTCTTAATGCAAATTAAATTAAAAATTAAATTAAAAGAAAAACTTTTTGAGATGATAAAAATGGTTCATTTACAGACAGAAAGCACAAATGCCAATTCTAACTAAATTCAATATAGTTTTTCCAACCGATTGTGAATAAGTTTCTCCTGCAGTGAGCATACTGACACACGTGTGTGTGTGTTTGTGTATATGTACGTGTATAGATGTATGTGTATATATATAGCATCAGTAGATGTATGTATGTATGTATATACACACACATGCATATAAAAGTTTTAGAAGGGTGCTACCTGAGAACAAAACTATGGCAAAGACTCTAGGGTGGATGATGGGCTATATCCATAACATTGAGACTGGTTCTTTTGGATACAGTGCAGCTCTTTTTGCTTTGTTTTGCACTTGTGCCACGACACCTTGTGCACTGTGATACTGGAGAAGCATTGCTGTGTGTGGCTCTGAGATGGAAATCCGGCCCTAAAGTAATCCCTATTGATGTCAGGTAGCTGGAAGAATTAAATTCTTTGTGATACTCCCTACAGTTTGAACGCTGCAGGACTATGTGGCATAGCTAGAGGTTGGAAGATGGCATGGCCAGAGAATATATGGCTTAGAGAAAGGAGTTTGAGAGAGAAGGGAAATAGGGGTGTGTGCATCAGGGAAGATGACCCCAGTAGCATACCTCAAAAACGAATATGTCAGTGAGGCTTTGGTTGTGTACAGGGCTTTTGGGTTTGCTTATGGAAAAACACAGCTTTCCTGGAGCCAGCATATCTTCATCCTGTGTTTAAAAATTAAAAAATATATATACAGAATACACATGGAAAGGTAATTGTTGCTTCTGAAACTTGAACTTTCTAGTGTAGTTTTATAGCATGTACAATAAGGAAGTTAAGCTTATTTTAGCACTTAATGCAACAGAGCATTTGAAATCTGTTGTCATCTGTTTGCACAGTAGAAGTTATGACACTGCAATTCTGCTGTTCAAAGTTAAAATGAAGAAGGGATCACTTCTGAACTCACTAATCGCTCTTTCTAGAAAGAATAATGGCATTCTGCTGGCTTAGGCTTTGTAAATACAGCTTGGCAGGGCCTGTCACTGTCAAGTGACAATGACGTTTGCTCACTATGAAATGCATTTATCCCAGTTGTCACTTCAGCTCGTTCAAGCACTACAATGTGATCAACAGGACAGGGTAACTTTTGCACCAGTGATTCTTTTCACTTGCACTTTTGTTAAAAGTTGCTGTAATTACTTATTGAGCAAAAAAAAAAAAAGTTATCTGTAAATACTGTAAATGTTTTGAACATATATTATCTGTTATAGTTCAATCTTTCATTGGGGCAGGCATTGTAAAAATAAAAATGGGATGTAAATCCTCTTCTGTTTTATGTTTATCTTCATTTTATTATGACCAATGCATGAACATTGCTTAATTAAAATATATTCTTCTTCCTTGGAAGTTGCGTTCTCAAGAGAGACAGCAGCAATTAATTTCCCATTTTGCCTTCAAGACTCCAGACCATTCAAGATTGTAACCACAGGCTCACAGTGATGGCTGAGCTGCTCAGTACAGGATTTGGAATACCCTGAGTTGGAAGGGACCATGAGGATTGCTGGTCCAGCTCCTGGAACAGAGGAATTGAATTTGCATCCCCTGCCTGAGGCACTGTGTATGTTCTACCAAAGCACTTGCAGTGTGTTCTGCACCTCTGGTACAAAGGCCATGTTGCTGGATGGGCATTTAAGGTTGTGCTATGCTAATGCTGAGAGAATTGCTTGCAGGGATAGTGACATAGCAGTAAAGCATTCAGACAGCACAAATTGTCCTTTATTTTTTTTGTGCAGTTCTGTCAGGAGGAGTTAGTTGTTTCGTTATTTGTTTTCATTTCAACATAAGTTGCCCTACATAACAATAAGCCTCACTGAGTGGAGTCTCTTTGTCGAGTTGCACTAAAAAGTGTGTAAAGCTAAGGTACAACTGTCCTTTCTCTTGCACATAGCTTCTCAGTTATAAAACGGACATTCACACGTGTGTTGTGGCCATTTCAAACTGTACAGACTCAAATGCAGCCCTGTATGGGATGGGATCACAGAAGCAGGCTGTGATGTTGTTGATACCTACGGACTCATACTGCTGAAAACTACAGAATTGCACCCTGTCACCCAGATTGCACTGTGAGTGCTGACCACCAGTGCTGGTTGTGGAAATTTAGCAAAACAGCTTGATCTCTAAAGCAGCAGGTGAGAAGGACTCCTGTTATCAGAACAGAAGAATTTAGGACTTTGACAAGCACCAACACACCCCTTGCAAGGATGGATGACAGGGCAACATATTCTCACTGGGAGGTAAAGCTATAAAACTACTGTTAGGACTCTGCTCTTTGATCACAGGAAATTAAACACTTGGGCTATCTGGCAAGAGTTGTGCACACCTTCAAAGAAAACACAGTGAGAGGTCCTATTGCTCAATCGTGGCTGTTACTGATTCCCTACCTGTGGCCAGTCTATAGGGGTTGTGTGCACTTGAAGGGTGTGTGTGGTACTGTGCACTTCCACCTTGTTTCTGCTGTAAAAAACTGTTGCCCAGCAAATATAGAGCAGCCTGAGGCGGAAGGGGATATTGGGATCTTTGAGTCTAAAATGGACGAGAGACAGCATCCTGAGAAGCAATGACTATATTGTGCTGTCCAGCCTCACAGAAACATGTTTCAGAGCCTCATGTCATAAAGTCAGAAGGAATTTCTGTTAAAAAAACAACACTTCATTGTGCTTTCTATTGAGTATTCAACATCCTCCCTTCAGAAGCAGTGTGTTATCACCTTGCTGCTCGTTCAGCTGATACTGTTACTTTCATTCCCAGAACTGATACAGAACATTTGCAGCATAGCAAAGTGAGCCCAAAACAGATTTCTATTTTATGTTCGAAGTCTTGAACCCAGATGCCTGAGCATCAGTAGGTGGGGAAAAAAAGCTCAAAACCATGGAGTGGGGTGTGTGCTTTTGTGTCACTGGGTCTTCTCTCCTCCTGTGAAACACTGTGTACAGTTTTTCCCTAACCTCTTGTTTTCTTTTTTTTTTTTTTTTTCCCCTACCCAGGAGCACCTGGCAGCTGATGCACAGCAATCACATTCAGGAAATCAGAGCAGATAAGATGGGTCTGCACAGGGTTACCTCCCACAACAGCTCTGCAGGCAGTGGGGCCTGTCATACCCAGCCCAGCAGCTTTGCAGGGTGCGGCATCTCCTCTGAGCTGTTCCAGAAGCGCTGCTCCTGCAGGGTGTGCTCTGCTCCCAGGAAGAAGCAACTCACAGTGCAAATGCAGTGATAGGCAGAGTGGAGCTTCTGCGTGGTAAAAGTGCCCCTCCTCAGTGGGCTCTTAGTTTCATCAAGGAAAGTCCCTTGCTGAAATGCTGAATATTCAGGTGTCTTCAGGGACCTTGGGATCACCTCGCCATCAGGTATTTTTGGAAATATAGGGGAGAACTGGGTGCCTGGGGAAGCAGGGTTGGCTATGGCAACTGCAGAAAGATGCTTTCACCTGAGAGGTGCCTGTATTTGTGAACTCCTTCTTTGAGGACAGAACACAGTGGCATCTGTTACTCTGATTTCAGTGGTACCCCTGCTGATAAGAGAGAAACCTCACGATCAATCCACAAGCCATGGCTTTCCCCTCCAAAGGTGCAGTTCTTGGTCTTGCCAAGAACTTTGGATTTTGGATTATCCTTAGGCCACCCTCCTTCACCTTTTTGCTTATCTGAGCGAAAGCAATTTGGAAGGTGCTTTAAGGATATGACTTCCCTAACTTGCAGCAGGGGGTTGCTCACTCAGACTTTCATGTGAGCTGGAATAGGTTTAACCAAAAATACTGTGTAACTCTCCAAGCCTCTGATGCATCTTGGTGGCTCTTCAGAGGGCTTCTGTTACTCTAATAGCTGATGGTTGTACAGCTCTTCTTAAGGGTGATCAACCCTTCTCTCTTTTGCAGAGATGCATCTCTGAAGCAGTTCTGAGCAAGCTCAGTTTGACAACAAATGACAGCTGTGAGGCAGTTTAGGGAAGAGGAGGGAGATGGAGGAAGCTTTCCTTCAGCCTGCATCTATTCTGACCTCTTCTAAAGCCAAATATACCCTAAAAGGCAGGTAGTAAATTTGACCTTCCCCTGTTCTGCTGTAAACTAATACATGATTGTCATTATGCAGCTGGTGCAACTTGAAGTTACCAAAAGAACTCCTTACAAACAGTTCCTATCCCAATACAAACAGAACTCGTTACTTTAAGAGAAGCTGGGAATCTGAAGTGGGAGCTGTCAAGCCCAAGGATGGAGCTGACTGGGATGTGTGCCCCTGCTACTCTCACACCAGTTCTGGTCTCATAGATCATGGTAGATACCTCTGCTGGTGTGGCACAGGCAGTATTGTGCTGTTAGTGCTGGCGCGTTTGACTCTACTTTACACTGGGGACAATGCCCTCCTTTGGCTAGGAATGAAAGTGTAATTGGGCTTTTATGTTCTTTTAAATACCTGGTGTATGTCTAATCACCTGGTTAGGATGAATGTAATGGCACCCCCTCATGGATTTCAAGCAGAGATAGACAAAAAAAGAGTGTGTAGTACTGTGCTGCCTGTGGGAGTTGTTGTGCAGAGACTAAGTACAGCTGCCCAACAGAACTGCCACTAATGCTGATAGAATTGCCTCGTGCAGCTGGATTGAAAACTGTAAATCTCTGGGGTAAAGCTGCAAATGCTTTTGTATTGATGGTCTGTGGAAACTCATAACATAAAAGAGCAGAGCATTTGTCAACCTCAGATGAGGTACCGTTATGTACCGCATGGTTGCTTTTGGATTACTATAGAAAAAAGGCATGTCTTTAACACGGGCATGATGTTGTTAACAGTGGCACAATGGTACTGGCTTGGTTTTGGAGCTGCAGCACCCGTGTACTGCTGGCATGTGGAAAAAGTCCCAGCTGCCTGATCATTTGAATACTCCTTAGCTACAAAGTTTGAAAACTTGCCTGTAACAGAGATTGAACTCAGAATAATTTTACCCATTCTTCACCTCCTCTGTCCTCTCCAGATCTGAAAGGCTCGCTTACAAGCTAACAAAAGAAATACTGGCCTAGAAATGCAAGGGTTTTCCTTACTTGCCTCACTAATGCATTATCTGTCTGTAACCATGCTGTAGCCAGAAGTTACTTCCCATTTGTACACTTACTCCTGTGTCTGAAAACTTCCCCAGGCAGGAGATTATGCTCTGCTGTGGTTTAATGCCCTGGTATGGCTGCTTTATGCAGACCTACTTTGCTGTGGTTTCCACTGAGACACTGAAGAAAACAAACTGCCCCCTCTTGCTGATGTTGCACAATGTTTGAGGACTTGAGGTCACTGAGAACATGAGTGTAACAAACCAGGGGATAGCTGCAGTGATTTGTTTTTTCTTCACTTGCCAGAAAAAGGTGCCTGGAGCGCAAGAGGCCTAAGGCCTTCCTGGAGAATGCTCTAAAGAATAGAAGCGCTGTAACTGAGTGATATTTCAACCATCTGCTCCTTCCACACTGACACACGGGCAGGCCAGTTCCATGTGAGTGCAGTGATAGGTGAGCCTTGATGGAAGATGCAAAAAGTTTTAATTTTCTCGTTCGTTGTCAGACAGTGATCTTCACATCACTACACCAAAAGAAATAATTTTAACATAATTAACTTGAGCTAACGCTGAAACTCCTGGGAGCAGCATGGTGTTAACTGTTCAGAGATTTTTAACTTGCTTTTTATCACGGATATAATAACACTGTTTGAATTAAGACTTCTTAATTAAATGTGACCTGGGTGGCACTGTGTTCTTAATTAAACATGACCTAGGTGACTGTACAGTTATTAACACCATGTTCGTTTGCGCTGTGGCTCTGATACGCTCTTAGACTCTTCACCCATCATTTCACTGGAAGCCAACACAGCAGCTTATATTTAAATGCTCTGCAACTTTTCTATTGCTTGAATTTGTTCATTTTTTTAATGCATTATAAATCAAGAATATCAATAGTGACTTTTGTTCTGGATCTAACAACTGGTAGAAGTTTTTATTCTTAAATACTTTTTTTCAGACAGATTGTAAAGATTGTGCTTTTTTCGCATTGAATTTAAAAACCAATGCCAATGGAAAAATCCTTGTAGTGAGACTTCTGAGAGACAAGATAGAGACATGTGCACTTGCCAGATCTTTGCAGAAACCTCTTTAGAAAACACTGCTTTTCCTACTGTAAGACCTATGGAAGAAAGAAATTAGTCCCAGGAAGGAAAGGAGCAAATCTGGGCTGCAGGCCTGGCATTTCTCTGCTATGCTGGTCAAGATTCAGCCTGGACTTTGAAGCGACTCCATGGTGGGGCATAAGGTCCACAGAGTCTGTTGGCAGAAAAATGCCTGATCACTTGGTGTTGAACCAACCAATGCCTTCTGAGGAAGCCACCTAACGTTCTGTCCAAGAGATCAGTGTGCATTCACAGACCAAAAAAAGGAAACGTGAGAGAAAGATGATATGTTGCCAGAATTAGTCATTGCTACACCAAGTATGCATTGGATGCAGGACTTGCCTCGGTTCAACAACCTGAAATGCAAGTTCCCTATTCCAATTTCACATGCTTTTAATGATAGTGTGTTAATGTCTCCTTCAGTTTTGGGCATGACCTTTCTGAAGTGTCTGTTTCTGTTTCTCACCTGTTCATTGAGCCAAAAAACAGCTGTTTGTGAATTTTAGGAGGGGCTGCAAGGGACAGAGCAGATGAAAGATTTTCTGTATTAATTGATATGACCCTGAATGAATGCAGTTGAGTGATCTGCACTATTTTGTACTGCTCATATTTACCAGTTGCTGTGCCTGGTTCAAGGAACAAGCCTACAACCCTACCATGGTGAAGCTGGCCAGCCTACTTTAACCCACTCAGACACACCCATCTAAACAAAACACTCCCTCTCCAAAAACCTCATGCTCCTCTCTGCACCAAGCCCTCTCGCTGCAATCCTTCCCTGTGCAATCTATCTCAACAAATCCCTTTTGCTGCCTTTGAGGTTTCTTGCTCCAAATCAGTACTTCTGTGCGTGAAAGATCCCCAAACTGGAGTGGTAGGGCAGCAGCAGGACAACCCCCCAACCTATGTCACCTGCTGCAGATTGCTCTCCAGGTGTGGTGCATTAGATCCTGCTGTTGCCATCCACTTGGGCAGGCTGCTCTGAAAGCGCCTGGGGGTTACAAGCTGAGGTCAAAGAGGTGAAATGGGCTGGGAGAAGGCAGTTCTGACAGTAAGTTAAAGCCTAAGTGGGTTGGGCCTGCATTTACCCTTCAGGATGATGAGGAGAGGGTGCTGAGGTGCTGCCAGGGCAGAATGGGGTATTTTGGTGTGCAGAGGGCCATGTTGGCACCATCCTGAAAACAGTGAGAAAGCCCTGCTCTGAGGCTGCTTTACAAATGGCTGCTGGTGGCTGTAAGACATTTGGGAACCATGTGAAAACTGCAGATGGTGGAAATATGGCATGTGGGAACACTGTCAATTGCTCAGTCAGCCTTTAGGAACAAAGATATAAAACTTCTACAGTTAGAGATCCTCCCTTGGTGTCTTGGGAAAGAGTTTGTCATCAGTGCACACCAGAGCTAAGCTCTTTAAAAAAATATCATTGTTATTTCTGGAAGGGGAGGTTGGGTCACCTTCCAGTGTTAGGGAAATCTGGTCACAGGTTTGTGCACCAGAGAAAAGAAGTGGCACGGTGTTGGCAGGTCACATAGTCCAGTTCTATCCATCAGGTACAACAATACCATGAAGTATGATTTTGACACAGGATTCTCTCCTTGAATTTATATTCTGTTTTACTACTGGAAAATGAGCCATGACTGTTAATTAAGGACTGTTTCCAGTTTAGGGTTGCACTGTTTATAAATGTTCAGATCCTCCATGTTTAATTCGGTATTGTCATTCTACCACAGATTTGGTCTTTACTATGAGTTATGATGTTCATGATGTGCTGCTATGTTTTAGCCCTGGTGTTAGTTTAAATGTCTTTCAGTTTTCCTTTGTGCTGGTTCTTTTAACAGAACCTGGAGCAAGGGCCATCTTTATGAGAATCTTATACTTCAACCTGTAATCAGGTATAGTTGAGAAGGAGCTGTGATGCCAAGTGCTGCTGCTTTCCTCTAGCAAATGGAGATGGTCATTGTTACATATTTGAAGTAGCGTATGTTCATGTACAGATGCAGTGTTGCTGACAGATCATTATCAGTCAGCATAAATAAATAAGAAGTTAAATGGTACAAGGAAAGCACAGTGCAAATTGTCATCAAATCTGTTCCCCGGCTCTGCAGTGGAGGTTGTGTGGGTATGCTGAGTGACGATTGTAGGCTGCTAGCTACATTGCTCTGGAAAGTGATTTGGGGTCACAGTGAAATCACACTGAATTGTTGAAGTTGGGCCCAGAGGATAACACACACAGCCATTCAAAAAGCACCAAGAAACTTCTGGTTACAGATGGCAGGAACGATGTTTTGTTATGCTTGAGATAATGCAAACATACCTGTGGCTGTTACTTACATCTATGACAATTTCACATTTCTAGACACTCACTGGATGCTGCCCATACTTTAACTGTTATTTTTCTACTTTTCTTAATATGCAAACTCCTTAAGAGTGTTCTAGGAAAGGTGTGGATACTGTACCTTTAATTTACCTTCTGACAAGCCTTGGATGCTCCCCCCTTGCCTCTCATGGATTCCTCACAGGCAGCCCATAGTCATCTAGCAATCTACAGTGTAAAATTATCACCATCTACTTCTCCAATAGCCAAAGGCCGAGGTAATATGAATACTTTGGCCTACTCACCCAAAGTGCTCTCTTTTTTTTTTTCCTACTTGGAGACTGAGGGTTTGTAGAAAATAATTTTCTATTTGAAAGGAAGTGCTCCTTCAATTCTGCAGCTTGAAGGGAGATTGACAACTTAGCTTGCGGTTAACAAAGTAGCCACAGGCACTGACAAGATTTGTCATTGTTTCTGAAAACTATCCTTATATGACATGGCTAATAATATTAGAAAAGCTTCAAGTTATGTCGTTTGTTCATGGGCAGGGGACTGTCAAAGACATTACAACTTCTCCACAGGAAGCCATGCATGCGTCTAAAAGCTCCAGACTTGCACTGTGTATCCACAAGCAATTCTGGTGATGTTGAAGAGGAAGCAACTCCAAGTTCTTGCAGTGCAACATCAGTAGTAAAAGGATTGAGTTCCACAGTAACTTAGTTTTATAAGATCAAGTGTATATAGCATGGCAGTAAACTAAGGCTAGGAATTAAGTTGAAGAAGGATCTTAGCATGTAAACCACACGCTTTTGGAACAGCTTTTAGAGTGACACAACCTTCTCATAACTCTTCAAGTTACTGTATAAAAAATTATATATATTTATGAAGAGTTTAAATAATTAAGCTGCCCCAAATGGTAGACAGGGGTGTGTACGTGCCTGGCCAGTGGTTTTCAGTCATGATCTGCAGTTATGCATAATTAAATCTGTGATGGCAAAATATCTGTTTGCTTATACCTGTAGCTCCTGTGAAGAGAAGGTGAGTTCTGAGTTTGTACCCTGATTGATCAGGTGCTATAGGTGTAGGGGGAGAGTACATATTATGGCAGGTGCTGTAAGAAAGGCCCTTTTAGTTATAGCTTCAGAAATCCCGTTTCTTAGGTTGTAAACATGTTCCTTTTCCTGAATGCTATGCAGAAGTGCACAAGAAATGGTTTGGAGGAGTTTGGTGTGCTATAGGTTACTTGGTGAACTTGAAGGCATTCCAGGAGTAATAGAGAATTTCTCTATTCTCTGGAAAATAGAGAGCAGTGTGGGAGCTTGCTTTTTGGAGGAGTGTGTGGCATGCCTGAGGTTTTGTAACTGCTGTGTTCCAAAAATGGTGCTTTTATAAATAAATAACATACCCTGTTTCACATGGTTTTCTTTCAGTGGGAAGCTGCCCTGCAGTCCTCAGGATTTTCCTATCCCTGCTCAAGGGAGGAACAAATGTAAGTTCACAGAAAGAGCATCTTTATTTCCTCTGTGTCTAGAATTGAGAAGTATATGGGTTTTTTTATTCTTTGATCAGTCACTTCAGTCTCCCTAAGCAGCCGTCATGGCTTTCTGTGAAAGCCTGTGAAAATAAAAATGTAGCAGACAGAAATAACATTCCCTCGTTCTAAGTGTGGAGTGTCTCAGTGCATATTTGGCACATCCTCGGAGGCTGTATCAACAACAAGGAGAAACAAGCTGCTGTAAAGAGCAAATCAGAGAAAGAAATAGCACTTGGTGTCTTGTTCTGTATCTGCTAGGATTTCTGACATGAGTCACAGAATTGTTAAGGTTGGAAGAGACCACTTAAGATCATCTAGTCCAACCACCAACCCATCCCCACCATGACCACAAACCATCCCTCAGTGCTGCACCTGCTCTTTTCTGAGATATATTCCAAGGGCTCAGAAGTTACAACAGTTTCACTTCTGAGCAGACCGCCACACAGCACACCTTTCAGGCTGTGTGCTTTGGTGTGTGGCTTCACAAGAGCCTTCCATAAGCTGTGCGGAGCAGTGACGCCTTTAACCAACACAAAGACAGCCTGAACTCTGTGGGACGGAACCAGCAGCATTTAGATGGCTGCAAGTGATGCACGACAAACATTTCCTTCCCTGAGGCACCAGATGGCAGCATTTTTCCTCTCTCAAAGTGTGATCTCCTCTTGGATTCTGGGACCACCACATAGGGCTGTGTGGCTGTGGAGGCCACAAAGGCCTCAGCTGAACTAGACTTTCTCTGTTATCGCCTGCTTTGTGGGAACCCATCAGTCACACAACCCTACGCCCTCCTTTTTCCCCTCACTCTTATGTCCTTGCTCATAAATGCAGAGCTGCTTGACCATTGCTTTTTGTTACAGAAAAAAAAAAAAATAATCATCCATGTCAGCTGCAGCAAGCTCTGTTTCCAGGTCACTCACCTTTGGCCTGCAGCACTATGGGACAAATGTGTTTGCACAGGTTGTACAACTTTGCAGCTTCGTTGGACAGCAGAAGAAAGGGGTTGGCCCCAGGGGCTGAGGGAGGAGCAGCTCTGGCTTGCTTTTTTTTTTTGTTTGTTTTTGTCTGTGTTACTCTGTGGGGCTGTGGTTAGTTCCTCTGTCACTGCTTTACAGATGCTATGAGCTCACCAGTGGACAATTTGTGGGTTCTTTAACTTCTGACGAGCAGCCAGAAGTTGTTTTTCTAAAGAGTGTGTAACAAGGGATTTTCTAATTTTTCAGCTTTCAGCCAAATTCAGTCAGAGTGCCATAGGACAGGGAAGTGGTGGTGGAGCCTTCTCTACTCCACCCTTCTTACTTACTACCAAAAAATTGTCTATAAACAGGCAAGAGGGAGGGAAGAGCGTTCCTCAAAGTGAGCCATAAGAATCCTGTACAATGATAATGCTAAACTAGGAGTTTTGGAAAACAGTGCTATTTTATTTGGTTAAAAATATTCTAATAAAAAAAAAAAAAAAGCCCTCTGTGTTTTTTTCACTTTCTCATGCCAGTTTCTTTCCAGTTTTGGATTTGTCTGCCCATTGGTTTCAGCTAATTCATGCGAACAAGACGGACTCAGCTTTACTGCCCAAGATAGGCAAAATACGTGCAAAAGAAATATACTGTAAATTCACCCGAAAGCTGAGTAGAATTTCATCACTTCAAGTCAATTGTACAGGTATCATCTTCCTTTTAAATAAAGAAGAAAAATATTTTAAAATATATATCTCCACAGCTTATAATGATCAATGCGATTCTTTATGTGTACTTGCTGTGAAAAAAAAAACCAACCATTTTTTTTGTCTACTTATAGCTCTGTAGTTACTAACTAGCACCTTCTGTGAGAAACAGTTGCCTGTGATGATCTTTGCAAGAAAGAGAGATGCTGGGATGGTTAAAAAAAAAAAAAAAAAAGCATCTGATATCTATCAGTATGGATTATTACAGCTTGCCATTATTTATTTTGGAACTGTGACAACTGACCAAAACATAGGGACTATGAATAGGAATGCAAAGAGCAATTAAGTGCACGAAAGAAAGGGAAAATAAAAAAAGCAATATAATTTGGCACGCAGCAAATGTGAGATCTGGTGTACAGCTGTCTGTGCAATTCTCACTGCTCTCTTGGAGGGTTTCTGTGATTTCCCACTAAGGTATCTCTGCTGATAGAGACTTAGAAACAGCTCCATCTCTGTAAGCTTTGATTCTTAGTACAGCTGGTAAGATAGATGTGTTAATCCTTTACATATGAAAGATGCAAGTATCCTCCTACACATACATTACAGAGAGAAGTTTTGTTTGTTTTATGATAGGTAACTGCTATGTACTGTTCGCTGTAAGTGGAATTACTGTTGAAACAAGCTGATTAAATCTGAAATCCCTCTTGCTGCAGTCCAGAATGAAAATATACCCAAGGGGGGGCAAATTCTGCCTGGTAGTACATAGAGCTGGAGGAGAAGGTACTCCTAAAAAGTAAAAAAAAATCTGGTTTGCAGGGAAACATGCATATACAATTCCTATGGAATGAGATGTGGTTCTTGGTGGCTTTGTAGCGCCAACAGCCGCTCTACCAACTTTCATCTTGGCTTTCCCTCAAGGGGGGAGAATTGGTTCAGCCAATTGGTGCAGACACAGGGATGTTTTCCTTGTGTGTATCCGTTATTCCGTGATGTATACAATATATGGGGAGTGTTGTCAAAAGGAAGACACTGCAAACAAATCGGTAGTGTCGTATTCTGATCCTCCTCATTTTCTATTCAGTAGCATTTCTCATCAGTCAACCCTATTTCTCCCAGAAGACAGCGACTGTTATTACTGTTTGCATACAATGTGGGATGAGGAGGCCGGGAAGAATAGTTGTGCTGAGAGAAACTGGTTGGGAAAGAGGTTAAAAAGCCCAAAAAGTGGTGAAAGTAGGCAAAAGTAGACAAGGCATTATACATATGACATAAAGTCCCCTTTTTTGCAGGTACAGAATGCTGGGTGTTTAAGAGCTGGTACTGATTGTACTACAGTTGTTGTACGAGGGCTGTAACTGGTATACCATGCATAATTTCTCTCGTGGTGCTTATTGTTCATTGGTTATCCTGCACAGAAACAATACAGGCACTGTAACGGACCCATGGGCTGCATTCCAACACAAGTCATTAGCTCAGGCAGGTCTCCTGAATTGGTCTAAATTTTGCTCCTGTTGATGCAGTGAGTGTAGTGATATACTTTTAATGAGTAAAGGTGGGATTACGTTGTGTAAGCAAGAAGTTTATTAGCTTATCTTTGCTTTTATTTTTCTTTATATTTCTTTGTTTGGGTGGTATTTTCACCTTCCGTTAGCACATGTTTCATCTCCTTAAGAATCACAGAATAGAATTGTAGAACCATAGAATGGTTTAGGTTGGAGGTAGGTAACCTACCCCAACCCCCTGCCGTGGTCTGGTTGCCCCCCACATCAGGCTGCCCAGGGCCCCATCCAGCTTGACCTTGAGTGCCTCCAGGGATGGAATGGATGGGGCATCCACAGCTTCTCTGGGCAGCCTGCACCAAGGCCTTACAGCTCTCAGGAGTTGAATTAGAGTTGGGCCCATCTCAGACATCCATGAGTCCTAGATAGAAATACCCTCTACATAAACAAGAATGGGGTGAAAAGTTGTATCGCAGCGATTGCAAATCATAGATTCATAGCATCCGTAAGGTTGGAACCGAGCTCTGAGGTCATGTAGTCCAGCTGCTGACCTATGACATTATTAAAAATAATAGATAGACCTGTATTTTTTATATTAATGTCCAGCATTGGAAGATGGGGTAAATCGCATGGACTCCCTTTGTCCTCAGGTGCCCAGCTTCGCTTAATAAGATGTGATACCAAAGGCAAGAGGCAATTTTATTGTGATCATTTACCCATGAAACACACAGGCCCTTCATGCTGTACGTGTTAGTTCTCGTTGCATTTACCCCTGCAGCCATTCTCCAAACTGCTCAGTTCCTTCAGTGAGGGCTTTGGAAAGAGATCTTGTAAATGAAAAAGCAAACTGCTGGAAGGCAAACTGTTGTTAACAGCTGATGTCTTGAAGGAAATGAGTTTGCACTTGATGGAAAAAGGCAGAAGGGCTAATGGACACAAGCATGGATGTACCTTTGTACCCTTTCCATAAGGTGTGGGTGGGTGAAGGTTGCCCCATGGTGGCAGTGACCCTGTACTTGCTGTGTCTAGCTGATGTTTACGTGGGTAATGTGTCTCACTGGCACAAAGGAATCCTTTAGCTGTAGGGGATGCATTAGGAAACTATTTCTACATTCCAGCATCAGAACCGTGTGGATGACAGCACAAATAATGGAATCATCAAAGCTGGAAAAGACCGCTGAGATCACCAAGTCCAATCCCATCCCCATCCCCACCACGACCACAGACCTTGGTGCTACATCTGCACAGTTTGTGAACACCTCCACGATCAGTGGCTGCACTACCTCCCTGGGCAGCCCGTGCCAACGCCTCACCACTGTATCAAAGACACGTTTCCCAACGCTCGACCTGAACCTCCCCTGCCGCAATTCGATGCCATTCGCTGACGCGCCGTGCCTTTCGTGCACCACAGCAGGGACGCTCGGTGGGCTTCCACTCAGCGCCCAAAGGCAGCGGGAAAGCCTCAGGCCCCGCGAGGATCCCTTCCGGCCGTCCCGTGCTGGCAGCGCTCCGTTCTCCTCAGTACGGCACTTTGAGCTGCGGCGGGTGCGTGCCGGGGGATCTTTGTCCGAGGGAAGGGAGGCACAGAACCTTCCGCGCGACTCCGAGGGAAAGCCAAACTACTAAAACCCAACATAACCGTAAATAATTTTTATTAATTGTTTTTAATAAACCACCACAGACGGACCAGAGGCGAGCGCGCAGTGCCCGCGCTCCCTGAGGGCCCGCTCCCTCCTCCCGCCATTCCCCACCCGCTCTCCTCAGGTGGCCGCGTCGGGCCGGGCCGGGCCGCGGGAGCC